ATTGCCTAATTACCCTAAGCACTCGCAGCCCGCCCGGGCTGCGCTCTGCTGCAGCTGCGGCTCCCACCAGGAGCTTTGTCCTGGCACATCTCACCACCCAGAGCTCGTGTCCCACCAGCCGCGGCCAGGACTTCCTAAAATATTGATGGGTTTAAAATATTATTGGTTTTAAAACGTCACAGCAGCCCCAGCTCCCCAGAAAACTCCGTGATTCGATGGGCAGGTGGAGTGAGTCTCCCTGGAACCCAAACGGGAGATGATGATCACCTGGTGCTCATCATGGGGGCCGTTCCCACCCTGGATGTGAGAAATAGATTTGTGAAGAATTGTTTAAAGTTTGATAGGATATTTTAGGATTTTTTAGTAGGATTTTATTTTTAGGATTTTTTTTGTTTGTTTTGTGTCTTTGTATGTAAATACTGAGATGAGGTGTGATGGTTTAGGAAGGTTGTGGAATAGAGGTGATATTGTCAAGAGAGAGATTGAACTAGGAATAAGTAAGTTTTAAAACATAACTTTGTAAAAAGATTAGGTATTTTAGAGAATTAGCATTGTAAAAGATGCATTGCACTAGGATTACGTGGGGGGAAAATACAAGTGATTAATGTTAAAAGTAATTAGTATTGGGTAGGAAAAGTTAATAAGATGAAAAATATCTATAAAGCATTGTAACTAAGAAATAAGTTCATTTTTGATAAAATAGCATTGAGTTTATATCTCACCCTTCATCGAGACTGATAATATAATAATTTTTTTTTAACTTAAAAACAACAAATGAGAAATAGATTTTTAAAGAATTAAAGAATTCTCATTCCTGAGAAAACGGCAGTGGGGAGCAGGACGCACACGCAGCTGGAGCATTTCCCTTCCCTTCCCTTCCCTCCTTTCTCCTTCTGGGAAGAGAACAAAACTCTGGCCAAAAAGGGGAAATTCTGGTGCTCCCAAAAACTCGGCATGGGTTGGACTCAGAGCTGTGACACTTGCTCAGATCCATGTCCAATCTCCAGGGAGGGAGACTCCAAACCTGTCCCACTTAATTCAATGCTTGACCGTAAAAAATTTATTTTATATTTTTATTATGGAGTTTCCTGTATTTGGATCTGTATCAGCCAGGATTCACCTTAGTCCAGGTCTACAGGACCACATCCCATCTCCAGAGGTGGAGACTTGAAATCTCTCCCACTTGATCCAAGTTTTGACAATTTTCCCCATAAAAAGATTTTATTTTCATGATTTTATTTTATTCTATTTTACTTTATTGTATAATTCCCTGTATTTGGATCCATATCAGCCAGGTTTCACCAAGGATGGAGACTCCAAACATCTCCCACTTGATCCAAATTTCAACCATTCTCCGCACACAATTAATTTATTTTTATTTTCTTTTGGCATTTCCCACACTTGGATTCATATCAGGGTTCAGCTGGGTGCTCAGGACCATGTCCAGTCTCCAGAGATGGAGACTCCAAATCTCTGGACATCTTGATCCAACACTTGACCATCCTCCCTATAAAAATATTTAATCTTTTGGGGTTTGTTTTTTTTTTGTATTTTGAAGTGGAATTTCCTGTGCTGGATCCCCTGTCAGCCGGGATTCACCTTGGACAGGTGGCTCAGGACCTGTCCAATCTCCAGGGATTCCCAGTCTCTGGAAACTCGATTCATGGACTTGACCACTGTCCCCATGATTTATTCTATTTTTAAGTGGAATTTCCACTCTTTGGGTCTTTACCAACCAGGCCGTGGAGCCAAAATCCCACTTTATCCTAATTTTTGGGATGGTTCTCCCTGAAACCCGGAGGCCACAAGGCCTTCAAAGGAGCAGCAGCTGCAACACGAGACCAAAACCTGGGAGCTCCAACACCTTTTTATTCTGGAATTCTAGAAAGGAGCCACATGGATGGGGTTTTTTTTTTTGTTTTGTTTTGTTTTATTTTGGGATCACAAAATACACAACATTCATTTTAATATGGGACACAGAATATTCTGTACATATTCAAACCCACATGACTGCAACACAACCGCACACGGCACCAATTCCCGAACGAAAAAACCCCACAAGTGCTTTTTTCCTTTTTTTTTAATATTAAAAACAAATAGGATAAAACATTAATATTTTTTCCCAGACGACGTTTACAATAGAGGAAAAAAAAAATCATATTTTTACTAAATAACAAATATTTAACAGCACAACTTTATCCTAAATATCTATTTTTGAATTATAACAAAAATAGCACTTATAATAGTTTATAAAGACAGACCAAAAAAAAAAAAATTTTGTGTATAAAATAATATTATAGCAAATTGGACTGTGCTAATTAAAAAAAAAAAAAAAAAATCTGAGATTCAAAGTGCTTTATTCTGCAAACCCACTGCAGCAACTTTATTTTTTTAGTCAAGTTATATTAGTTAGGACTGGAACAACAAAGCCTGGCTTATTTCAGCCTGGATTAAATACTCCCCCACACAAACACTGTATATCCACGGGATGTTAATGGAATTTCAGGGATGGCTGCAGCTCCCATTCCCGTCAAAACTCACTCCAGAGCAGGTTTGGTTCTCACTTTGGAACAACATTGGAAGTTAAAATTGAAATTTCAGGGAAAAACCCTTCCCTGATTCCCTGTGAAAAGAAGGAGGGAGCCCTTCCAGAAAAGTCTATCCAAGAGATTTTGCCCGTCTATCCGAGGGATTTGTCCTTCCATCCTGGCTGTCCGCCCTCTCTCCAGCTTTTCCCTTTCCCAGCCCACTCATCCCAAGCACAGATCCCAGATGGAAACGGGGCTCCTGGAGGGCACCCGCTGGGTTCTCACCCGCCTTCCATCCCCATTCCCAAGTCCTGCAAAAACCACAGACACCTCCCTGTGCCCGGCGCCTCTCCCGGGATGTTCGTCCGTCCCTGGGAGACTCCCATTCCCACCACAGCCCGGTTTGTGTTCTCCTTTGCCCTTTGGGATTTGGATTTCCACTCACGTTTGGGAACGTTTTCATGGACAGGGAAACACCTGGGATCCCAACAGGGTCTGAGCTAGTGGTGTTCCATTTAAAAATTCCAGGCTGGAAAACTCTGAGCCTCTGCTCCAGGGGTCCTGAGACCTTCCTGAGGGTTTGGCACATTGGTCGCCACCCAGGAACAAGACCGGGATCAGAACAGGAATGGGGAACCCCAGAAGACTGGGAGTTCCATTCCAGCTTAAATCGAGCTGTGCACCCCCGTGGGAGGGACCACCATGCCCTGGGATGCTCCGGGGGGGGATTTTTGGCAGCTTGGCTGACGGCATTCCAACCTCACGTGCTTCCCTTGGCTCCAAACCTGCCTCCCTGCTCCTTGCCCCCGCCAGCGCGCGCCGGCCAAGGCGGCCTCGCCTCCGCTCGCTTCACACTTCCCACCGCCTTCCCAAGAGGCACCTCTTGCCAAAGAGGCAAAGGCACAACCTGCAAAGCCACCTGGTGAGCCACGCCTGCCCCTTCTCCTTCCCTGTTCCAAGCCCCCAAACTTCTCTGGACCCCTGCGGAGCTGACAGCCAAGCTGCCCCGCCGGCGCGGGATCGGTGCCCGTCACCGCTCTCGGCCTCCTTGTGTCGTCTGTTCCACCTCGGAGGGTTGGGATGGGACAGGAGTGGGGCTGGGTGGGCTGGAAGAGCTGCCCCAAGTCATGGAGGGATCTCCCAAGCTGGCGTTTGGCTCTGGTTGGAGCCCAACACCTGCCCATGTGCTCGGGGAGCTTTTGCTCCACACCCTCCACACGCAGCCCCCCAAATCTCCAACTCAACCTAAAAGCCTCCTGCATGCAGAAAACCAAAATAAAATAACCCCCCCAGCAAATGGAAGGCAAAGATACCTCTCGGTGGCTGCTGGCTTGTGCTGGGGAGGCTCTGGAATTCTCCTGGGATGCGGGGTGGAAGATGACACGGAGCCTTCTCCTTCCTGCTGAGCTCTCCCGTTGCCAAAAAAAACCCCAAACACGAGACAAACAAATGCGTGCGGCGGCTTAATTCGAGAGATCACCTTTAATGCAAATGCCCCTGGCAGGAGCAGCCCCGGCGCCCCCAGAGCCGTGCTGGGGTCAGGGGCTGGTGCCAGCACCTTGAGGGGACAACACAGGCACCCAGATGTCCCCAGAGCCGGGTGCGTGTGCCCAGGGCTGGCGGGGGGCTGCAGAGGAGGGGGTGCTCACGGGCCGTGTAGCAGCAGCAGGAAACTCAACGAGAGGGGAAAAAAAGGGCATCCCCCTCCCCAGAGCGCCAAAACATCTTGGAAAATGCAAATCTGCCTTTCCCTTGGGGGCCTCGGGGATGAGCCCTGGGCAAGACACCACAGGAGGGGTTTTTTGGGAAGCAAAACGACCCCTCCTCCTCCTCCTCCTCCTCCTCCTCCCCAGCCTGCCCCGGCGCCAGCGGGAGAGGGGCTGGGGATGGGCAGCGTTGTCTCCCCCCCCCGGCCAAGGAAAGGCTCCAACGCCCCGGAATAAACAACACAACCAAACAAATGAAACAAAAAAAACAAAACAACCAAAAAAAAAATAAAAACCACCTCGAAAAACATAAAAACACTGTTATCACCAGCTAATTTAACACTGTTAAAAACAAAAAGGTCAGAGGTCACCCCAGAGCTGCCCCGGGACACCAGACCTCAGATCCTTGGCTGATTCCCAAGCCTTTCCCGCAGTCGGGCCTTCTCCTCCTGGCAGCAGAAGTGTTTTATAGATATTTATATATATATATTTATAATAATTAGATACTGTGTATGGTCAGCCATCCCAGCTCGACTCGGCTTTTGCATATCTTCCTCCTTCCCGATGAAACAAGGCGCCGCCGCCCCGACCTTCTCCGCGGGAAGAGCAAAATGCTTTTGGCAGCTTCCCTGCTGGAAAAGCAGTCCCGATCCGGAGGTGAGCGCCGTGGAGAGCTCCTCATCCCTCTCTCCTCCCCTCCTGTCCATCCCCTCGCCCCCACCCCACCCCTGCATCCCCCGGCCGCCCGTCCCTGGTGCCACCGGCGCGGGCTCTACACGGTGGCCCCCAGCATGGCATCTGTGCCCGTCAGGATCTCGTTCTGGTTGGAATCCAGTCCGAAGAATTTGACCTTGAGTCCGTCAACCGGGTGGACCACGGGCACCAGCGTGATTTTGGGGAAAGTCCTGGTGGCCAGCTCGAAGCGGCTGGTGCTGGCCAGCTCGATGGCCAGAGCCTTGAGGAAAAGCTTGGCCAGGTGCTTCCCCAGACAGGTCCGTACGCCTCCTCCGAAGGGGAGGTAGTGGAACCTGCCGTCCTTGTCTTCGCTCCGGCCCTGCCCGAAGCGGTCAGGGTCGAAGACGTCCACGTCCTTGAAGACGGGGGCGGTGTCGTGGGTGTCCCGGATGCTGTACATCACGCTCCAGCCCTTGGGGATTTGGAAACCCTGCGGAGAGGCAGGAAGGGGCGGAGAGGAGAGCAGAGGAGGTCAGTCCTGCTGGAGAGGGAGCAGGGGGACGAGGTACAGGAATTTTGTTTCCATGGAATGATGGAATGGTTTGGCTTGGGAGGGGTCTTTAACTGATCCTGTCCCACCTCCCTCCATGGGCAGGGACACCTTCCATTGCCCCAGGGTGCTCCAAGCCCCATCCAAGCTTGGACACTTCCAGGGATGCAGCATCCACAATCCCTGGGCAATTTGGGCCAGGCCACGGCACCCTCCCATTTTTCCCTGCTTATTCCCATTTCTTTCGGGTTTATCCCTCAAGTGTGATGCAGATTTAAAGGAAAGCCAGACAGCATAGCACAAAGAGATGCAAATCCTGGCTTTATTCCTCCCTCCGTCCCAAGGATTCGTGGGATGATCGATCCGTTTATTTGCTTTGTGGTCACTGGCAGGAGCTGCCTACCAGGAGCCCCGTGGTGCCGAACGGGGGAAGCAGCCCCACACATCAGCCAGCCCTTCCCAGAGCATCCCAGAGGATCCCTCAGCATCCCTCAGCATCCCACACCCCGCCGCCTGTCAGCACCACACACCCAACACCCACGCCGGGGCCTGGGCGATGAGAAATGGGGTGGATTTATCATCCCCTGAGCACTTTAAAAGGTCTCTGACTCAAACCACTGCATTAGGAGGATTTACAGTGACAAGGCAGCTCCCGAGATTTTGTTTTGCTGGGAGGAAATTCCAGCCATGGCGGTGACTAATCCGCCTGTCATCCGGCAGCCCGGAGATGCCCTTTGCCGTAAACCTTTCCCCTGTCACACCCCAGCTCAGAATTTGGCGTCGCTGTCACGAGCTGGGCTTTGAAGCATCACACCCGTCTGCTCTTTGACAGCTTCACGCATCCCTTGCTCCGCATCCCATCGCTGCTGGATCTGGAGCAAATCCCATTGCCAGAATCACAGGATTAATTAGGCTGGAAAAGCCTTTGAGATCATCGAGTCCAAGCTGTGAGCTAACACCACCTCATCCACTAAACCGTGGCACCGAGTGCCACATCCCGGCTTAAACCCCTCCAGGGATGGTGACTCCACCACCTCACCCCATTCCAATTCCCAGCCACTTTTTCTGGGAAGAATTTTTTCCCTAATATCCAGCCTAAACTTCCCCTGGTGCAGCTTAAGGCTGCGTCCCTTTATCCCACCACTGGGACAAGGACTTAATTAGGCGGGGCTTCGTTTTGTCCCCTCAGAGGTCTCCTTTCAAGCAAACTGGGCTGTTCTGGGGAGCTCGGGGTGCAGCACTACTCACGTCCAGCTCGAAGGTCTGCAGCACCGTCCGGTAGCCCCCGGAGATGGGGGTGAAGAGCCGGAGAACCTCCTTGATGACGCAGTCCAGGTACTGGAGGCCGTTGATGTTGTCCAGGCGCAGGGAGCCCTCGCAGATGCAGCCGTTGTGGAGGATCCCTTTGCTCCGCAGCTCCTCCCGCAGCTTCTCCAGCACCCGCGGGTGTTTGAGGAGCTGCATGATCAGGGAGGTGCTGGCGCTGGCCGTGGTGGCGTAGGCGGCGAAGATGAGCTCCAGGGTGCCGTCCTGGGGGGCAGGAAAAGAGCCAGGGTGAGACACAGGGGTGGGGCAGAGGAGCCACCAACTTCAGCACGTCAAGGTGCCACAGGGTGCTCTTCTCCCCAAAAAGCTTTCCAGCCTGGCCTCAGGACCGTGGGATGGTTTGGGTTGGATGGAAGTTAAGGATCGCCAACCCCAGGAACACATCCCGCCGTCCCAAGGTGCTCCAAGCCCTGTCCAGCCTGGCCTTGGATGCTCCCAGGGATGGAGCAGCCACAGATTCTCCCCCATAAAACAGCCGTTCCAAAGGTTTAAGATGCAAAGTGACCTGAGGAAGGATCACATCGCAACGCTGAGAGAGGGAAAAATGGAATGTGGCCTCCAAAGGGAGGTGGATTCTCCTGGGTGATTTCCCACCCACCAGGATGGATGAGGGAAATCTGGGCAGAGCTTGTGTCCGTTGTTAATGGTCTTGGACACCTCCAGGGATGGGGCAGCCACAGCCTGGTCACGTTTAACTGGAAGGTCACTCCTTGGACAGCCACCGCGACGAGCTTCACACAGAAGCTCTGAGGATCAGACAAAAAGCCCAGGAGATGGCTCCTGGCATGCCGTGACCCAGCTGCAGATAAGAACCTGCTGAGGGCCTGCAAAGCAGGCACCAGGAGAAGTGGAAAGGTCAAGGGAGGCAGCTGACCAAGGCTTCTGCTGTGACCAGGGCGGTTCAGGTTGGGGATCAGGAAAAATGTCTTTCCTGCAAGAACAGCAAAGCGTTGGAAGAGGCTGCCTGGGACGGTGATGGAGCCACCATCCCTGAAAACGTTCAAAAACCGAGTGGATGTGGAGTGTTGTGGTACGGTTTGGTGGGGATGGAGGCTGGCCTTGATGATCTTGGAGGCCTTTTCCAAGCTTAATGATGCCATGGAACGCTTCGTAGAAAGGGCTGGGCACAACCAGCGAATGAATAAAGTAACTGGTTTGGATTCACCAACACATCACGGTCCCCCAACTCTCAGGTCCGCCCCAACAACTCCTCCCTGGAGCATCCCTCACTTTTCCCTTCCGGAAGTCCTTGAGCAGAACAATCCCAAGGTGATCCCGGGGAAGAGCTTTACCTTCAGCTCCTGCATGGTCAGCTCCTTGCCGTGCTCCTTCCCGCTCTCTATCAGGATGTCCAGGGCGTCGGCGTAGTCCTTGCCCTGCGTGTTCTGCAGCTTCTCCTGGATGGCTTTTTCCAGCCCCTTCTGCAGCGTCTCCCGGGCCCGGATTCCCTGTGGAGCAGGAAGCGCTCAGACCACGCCACCAGCAGCACCTTGCCCATCCCAGGAGCTGCAGACGTGCCCAGGACAGGTCCAAGCCATAAAAGCAGAGGCTCAAAGGAGGGTGTGAAGATGCTGGAGGTGTCCCCTGGGCAGGAGGAGTAAAGCCGGGGTGGGGGAGATCACAGGCGGAGTAATCAACACCTAGGTGTAAATGACGGGTCTGGGCTGGGAGCCCCTGTCCGGCACCGGTTCACAGCCCCCGGCTCCTCCTGGGATGTATGGAAATCCCTGGGAAAATCGTCCCTCAAAGGAAAGCCCATTCATCCCAAAGAATCCTCTTCCCCAGCAATTTGATCACCTGGTCCCAGTAAAGCAATTCCTACGGGAGTGCAGCTGCTCGGGGCTAACCTGCTGCTGGGAATGACTCTGGGCTCCGAGGGGATGGAATCGTTCCCATGGGCAAATAGCAATTTAAAAAAAAAATAAAATGCAGGGATATCGCAAAAATAAATTTTGAACCCCTGTATGTTGAGTTGTGTTTTCAAAATTGCCCATGGGGGAAAAGAAATTATTTTATGTCTATTTTTTGTTATGTTTTCATTTTGCACCATTCATTAAAAAAAAAAAAATGCTTGGAATACTCCAGGAATTAGAAGGACCTGTTTTAGTTTTGGGAATTACAGGGATCTGTTTTAAATCCCGGAATTACAAGGACCTGTTTCGCTCTGAGGACAAGAGGGTATTAAAAGGAGAAGGGTCCCACGAACTCAAAAAATACAGGCAAATTGCCAAATGAGGGAAAATATGAATTAGATCTGGGCAAGTCCTGACTATTTCCTGTTGTCAAACCACTCCAACCACCAAGGAACACATTTTCCTCTGCCTTCTCCACTAGATCAGGAACTGTGGCCCAAAATGGACTCCTTGAGGTCAGGAGGGTGAGAAACCCCACCGAGAATGAGGAAAGGCGTGGATTAATCACCACCCATTAATTAATTGGCGTTATCAGCGTAGAGAACCCGGCCCAAATCTCACCCTCCTGTAGCCGCTGAAGGGCAGATCCACGGGCAAGGAGAAGACGTTCTCCACGAACTGCTGGTAGACCTCGAAGAGGCGGCCGAGCTCCTCGTCGGGGATGCGGAAGCCCAGCAGGACGCGGATGGCCATGCGGAACGTCAGCTTCTGCGCCTCGTGGTACACGTTGATGGGCTCCGTGTTGCTGCTCCAGGCCCGCAGGGTGTCCTTGATCACCAGCTGGATCTTGGGGAGATAACTCTCCAGAGCCTCGTGGCTGAAAATCTTGGAGAAAACCTACGGAAAACAGCGAGGAGGGGTTTGTCCACAGCCACAACGCCTCTGGTCTTCTCCAAGGTGTCCTCCGGGGAGTTGTTGCCTTTCCAAACTCTTCATCCAGTTCCTAAAAAGCTGCCAGAAACGCCAGCTCCTCCCCGAGATTCCCACCACGACCATCGCAAGTGACAGAGAATAACGGAGCAAACCAGGGATGGGAGGAATTCCTTCATCCCAGGTGTGGCAGGAGCCGGCTTTCCGTCTCCAAAGGATCCCAGCTCTGTTCGTCCCGTGGTTTGGGTGTCACTTATGCACCTTTTCCGCGGGGATTCTCCAGCGTCCCACACAGACACAATGGGAAAATGCAGCTCTCCCGACGGGAAGCACGGACAATTCCTTCCACCTCTCCACCACCTTTGGTTTGTTTTTTTTTTTTCCTTTTTTTTTTCATGGATGCAAAACGAAGCAAAATAATTATTTTGGAGCCTTTAGGATCTCTGTGGAATCTGGCTGAACTCCGACAGGGGTTCAAGCAGGGAAGAGCCGCTGCACGTACGCAGAGGCCGCGATCGCCCTCGGCTCATTTCCTTGGGAAACCAGGGGAAAAAAAAATTCCTGATGTCAGCAGCCAGCGTTAATTTAAGCTCTGCGAGTAAACAGTGAGCAGGACTGGGCCTCCCCAGGTCCCCCACGCTAACGGCTCCTTACTCCAATTTTTTTCCTCCAATTTGGGCCCGGGCCCGCTGGAGGAGCTCAGCAATGCCAGGAATGTCCCTTCCCGGCACAGCAGCGCTTTCATTCGGCATTCCCGCCGCATCCCTCCCCGAGCAAGGGGGGAAAGCGCTGTTTGTTTATTTTTTATTAACCTACACACACGCACGGGGCAGGACGCACACGCACCGCAGGCCTCCAGGAAAATCCAATTAAAGCAGGATTCCAAGGAGGGAGCTGCGCGCCGGAGCCTCCACCGGTGGCCGCTTCCCGGCGGGAATGGAGGCGAGGTGGGGGGGCTGCCAAGTTATCAACCCACCGGGAGAGGAGCGAAATCAAAGCCGCCCCCTCTTTTCCATGAGCGCCGGGCTCGCCGGAGCTGTAAATGTGAGAATTTCCTCCGCAGTCAGCACTCCAAGGGAAAGGTAATATTTTCCTGGCTGCGACCCCTCGTTGCTAATGCCCGGCGTTCCCTGGGAGTTTGTTTGGTGAAAAAACACCTCTGTCCCCTCGCAGCTCCGGGCAGGAGGCTCCGGAGCCTCCGCGAGAGCCGCTTCACGGCGCCCCGGGTTGAGCCCCCGGTAAAAACCCGGAGCCGCCCGCGGGAATCCCGGGAGGGCAGGATGCACAGGGAAGGGAATCCGAGCCTGGGGACAGGGAGCCATCCCTGGATGGCCGCACGGAGCCGAGGCATGAATGAATGAGAGGAGGAATCAATGAATGAATGAATGAGCAGCAGGGAGCGAGAGCGCGGGACGGGGCGGCGGCGGCCGCCTCCTGCCTGCATCCAGAGCCGGCAAGGGCAGCGGCGTTCAGGCTTTTTCTGCTGGAAAAAAGCAGCTGGAAAAGCTGGAGGGGGTAAAGCCGAGACCCTCGGCTGCGTGGGGAAGGGGGGGAGGAAGTGGGGAAGGTGGGAAGGGAATAGAGAAGGTGGAGAAGGAGTGGGGAAGGTGGAGAAGGGAGTGGGGAAGGTGGGAAGGGAATGGGGAAGGTGGGAAGGGAGTG